AAAAAAAAAAAAAATTGATGGAATCAGCCCAAATGTCCATCAATGATAGACTCAATAAAGAAAATGGGGCACATATACACCAAGTAATACTATGCAGCCCTAAAAAGGAACAAGATCATGTCCTTTCCAGGGACATGGATGGAGCTGGAAGCCGTTATCCTCAGCAAATTAACACAGTACACAAAACCAGCTACCGCATATTCTTGCTCGTAAGTGGGAGCTGAACGCTGAGAACACATGGGGAGAGGGAAACAACACACACTAGGGTCTGCTGTGTGTTGAATGTGCCACCATGCCCTGCTAACTTTTTGTATTTTTAATAGAGACGAGTTTTCACCATGTTAGCCAGAATGGTCTTATTCTCCTGACCTCGCAATGGAGAGGGAGGGAGAATATCAGGAAGAATAGCTAACAGATACAGGGCTTAATACTTAAGGGATGGGATGATCTGTGCAGCAAACCCCCATGACACGTTTACCTATGTAACATAACACATTCTGCACATGCACCCTGGAACTTAAAAGTTGAAGGAAAAAACTGCGTCATTCATTATTCAGTGTCTGTTACTTTGAAGTAAGGGGTTAGGTGTGTCTGGGCCACCAGTATAAGCCCAGCACTGACCAATGAATGAAAAGATTTTTTAAAAAGACTTAGAGGGGAAAATATCTAAGCCAGTAGTTGCACTGGGACTGGACTCCCTTCCACCAGGAGATCAGATCAAAGGCCCCACGGCTCAGCTCACCTGTAGGTAAAGGATGTTGTCTTTGGAAATGGCTTCCATCAAGTCCTTGTGCAGGGTGGGCTCTGTCCGGACTCTGGGAGAGCCCGACTCAGCCTCGGGCCCCTCCCTGGGCCGCTGCCGGTAAAACAGCACATAGGCTGTGTCCTTGGGGAAGAAGGAGGTGACGTTGCTGACAGATTCAAAGGAAGAGAAGGACACCCGAGTGTCATTGAACAGGTACCACTGGTTCTCAGGCTCTGGCCTATCACCAGTTCCCAGAGAAGGGGCAGGGCGGGCAGCGCCCTCACGGGCATAGCAGTAGTAGTGACCACTCTCTGAAGACACTCCAGAGTGTACTACAACGCTGCAGAGATCATAGGCCTGGCCCCGGCCACCAGCTAGCGGCAAGCGGAGCAGCAGGGGAATGGAGACGTCATCTAGGATCTTGCGGCGCCGCATGGTACGCAGGTCGAAGGAGAAGCGCAGCAGCGTGAGAATGAGGTAGCGCGGCCCCTGGCTCAGCTCCACTACCTTCTCAGCATCCTGCAGGGAGCCACACGACTCACAGTAGTAGCGATTCTCAGCTGTCAGCTTCTCGGGGGACAGGAAGTAGTTGACCAGGTCCAGGACAGAGCGGGAGCCCTCGGAGCCACCGGGCTGCTCGCCGGAGGGAATGGCAGTATCTGTGTGGGTCCCCGCTCCCAGGCTGTCTGCCCCCTTTTCCTGCTTTGCCTCCTTTTCTGTCTCCTTCTCCACCTTCTCTTCTTCCCCTACCTCCTTTTCTTTCTTCCTCGCTTCTTCCCCTCTGGTGCTTTCCTCTTCCCTCGCTTCTTCCTTCTTCGTTTCCTCCTCCTTCCCTTCCTCTTCTACCTTTTCCTCCTGACTGCTCTGCCCCGCAGCTTCCTGGGAGTCCAGGCCTTCAATGTCCAGGTTGGTGGGTGGGGCGTCCCCTGTGATGCAGTGTTTCCTTTGCCTCTGAGGAGCCACCCTGCCTGGCCCCTGTGCACTGGCTGCTGAGGGCAACTCTCGGGCTCTGAGGTCCTCTGCAGGGCGCATCACAGAGCCCAGGCGGCGGTGGCGGCAGCGCTCAGGAGGAGGAAAGGCAAGAGAGAGGTCTGTGAAGGCCTCCTCCCGGGAGGAGACGTTGAGGCAACAGAGACAGCAGATCCGAGTCACTATCTTGCCTCCAAACATTTTCTCCACAGAGGTTGAACCTGGGGCTGGGGGCTCCTCGGGCGGGGAGGGCGAGCTGGACTGCTTGAGTTTCTGGCAGATCCTTGTGCCCGTTTTCTCTTCTTCGTGCAACCTAGGGCAGGGAACAGAGTCTCCATATGTACATGTGGGTCCCCCTTACAGGGCACTCAGCTTATCCAGGCCTGTCTACCTTCCCCAACAGCTGCACACTGACACACACACATGCACCCAGTGACACTCACATATCCACCCATGTGCTCACAGCAGCACCCTCGCTGTGCTCACCCACACCCTACATAAAGATGTGCTTGAGGTATGTCACATGTCCCCATGACAGTGACAAAGCTGCACAGCCCAGTGTGCATATGATGGCCTTCCAGAGATCACTTCCATTCAGCATCTACCAAGCCTCCCTCACACTCAGTCCCCGCCCTTCCAGTACACCTCTTCTCCAAGCCCTCCACACACTGGAGGCAGCACTCTTATTCCCAGGAAGATGCAACACAGCTCAGAGGTACTGGGGCTTGCCCCCAGGGACCCTCTAGAACTGGGGCCCTTGTGTAGCCCTGGTCCCCCTTACCGATCCAGCAGGTACTTCAGATACTCCGAGCAGTCCTGCTGGGTGCCGGGGCTAAACCAGGGCGTCCAGGATGCAGACAGGAAGTTCTCTGGGGAAATGGCAGGCCGCTAGGACAAAGAAGCGAAAGGCAGCATCAGGAGCAGGAGGCTACTCACCAGCCAGCTCTGCATGGGTGAGGCCTGAGGGTCTACCTGGTACCCTCAGCCTCAAACTTCCTAGCCACCTCCATGAGGTCCTCCCTCCCTCCTGTGGTCCCCAACCCATCCCAGCCCATATGCCCACACCTCTGAGCAGGGCATCGGGCTCACAGAGATGAACAAGCCTCTAGGAATCTGTTCTTCCTGGCATACCTCAGACATTCTCTCCCCTCCGTCAAGATGAGTCGCAGACACAGCACCACCTTGTCCATGTTGTCTTCCCAACCCTCCCTCCTCCATCACCACTGACTTCTCCGTTCCCTCCATGAGCCAGGAAGGGATTACTAATCTCTGTGCCCCCATACAGAGTCTTGCCTAATCCCTGGTCAAGGGCTTTAGGCTCCATGAGGGCAGAGCTGGCGTTTGTTCTGTTCACCTCTGTACCTTCAGCAGCTCTCGGGCTGCCTGGCCATGTGGGCACTCAAAAATGACAGAATAAAGCAACATGCTGTGGTGTGACTGTGTCCTCCAAAAAGCATGTGCTGGAAACATAATCCCCAGTGCAGCAGTGGAAGAGGGGATGAGATCCTGAGCACTCTGCCCTCATGAATATATTAACTCTGTATCACAGGCCATCTACCTTCCCCAGCAGCCACGCATTGAGATGGGAGCAGGTTCTTGATTTGGCCCTTTCCCTCTCATGCGTGCTCTCAGGCCCTGTCATGCCTTCCACCACGTTATGACGCAGCAAGAAGGACCTCACAGACACAGCCCCTCCCTCTTGGCCCTTCCCATCTCCAAAACTGAAAAATACATTTCTTCATAAATCACCAAGTCTCAAGTATTTGGTTACAGCAGCACAAAATTCAGTAATGCAATGGACTGAATTGCCAAAGGGGGAGACTGGGCAGTATGCACAGAACAGGGCTCAAGGGGGCACTCCTCCCGCCCAGCAAGGCACTAAATTGGCTCCATATGCCAGCCTGAATGGGGCTCAGCAGCTGACATGGAATATGACAGCCAGATGCAGGCAGGTCCTCAGGAAGGGAAAGGTGTCCATGTCAGGGCCTGACAGAGCTGCCTCTCCCACCCCACCCCTGACTACCCCTGCACTCACCTGGCTGTGCTCTAGAAAGCCAAAAAGCCATTGCAGCTTGGTCATCAGGGGCTGTGAGTTGTTCTCAGTCAAACGGAGCACACAGTGTCTGAAGCTTCAAAACAAGGCAGGGACACCCAGGGTAAGCCATGGGCCCCTAAGGAGACTCTAGTCACCCATGTCACAGGCAGCCCAGAGTCTCTAGGCCAAAGGCAGAACTGACATTTCTACCCCAGGATGAGGCCAGGGCCCAAGGGCTGGGGAGGAGGAGCAGGTGAACAACTCAGACTGGGGTATCTGAGGTCAGGAACACAGCAGCAGACATGTTTTTGGACAATGAAGGGTACAAAGATGACCCTTGCAGCCCCTTCCAGTTCTGAGACCTCATAACTCCAGGACTCAAAGATTCAAATGTCCTAAGGTCCTGTGGTCCCAGTGCTCTAGGGTTAGGACTTTCTCACATGCCACAGGATCTATGCCAGTATCATCCCGGCCACAGCTGCCACTCACACACCCTTCTTCACTGCTTCCCTGGGGAAGGACATTCATCTACCTCCAGAGCAGCAGGCTCTGCTCTGACCTGGGCCCTCCAAATGACTCCTCTGCCCTTAAGCCACCACCTCAAGCTGTTCCCCTGCCTTCCCATGAGGGAGGCAGGCAGGGGTCAATGTGAGGAATACACTGAAAGAAGGGGACCCTGTTGGGATGGGTGGACTGGCTCCTAGTGGGAAGTTCTTATCCCAGAGGAGACATGAAGCCTCCCCTCCCTACACACACATTCTCTGAACAAGCCAATTCACAGTCCCCAGCTTATCTCCTGTTCTCACAAGCAGCTCTGGACAGATCAGCCAGGCATTCTCCAAATATAGCCCACTGCAGGGAAGAGCCCTAGGAAAAGTGTGGGCCACTTATCTCAGACCGAGGTAAGTTCAGAAGACAAGTGAGCGCTTAGAAACGTGTACAGCATTTTAATATCACAACGACCATACAAGCATATGATCGTTTTTCTAGTAAGTTGTTATATGTTACAAAAGTCATATTCTGCAGCAGACTGGAAATTAGAAAAGAAAAACAAAACTACTCCTTCACCAGCGTTTTGATAAGAAAGTGCAGCAGCACCTTAGGAAGTCTCAGAGATCAGCCCCAACCTCCTCCCACTGAACCTGAAGCTCAGAGAAAAGAAACTGATTTGATGTCATACGATAAGCCAGAATCAAAGCTTATTTTCACTGAATCGAAGCTGAAACTTTGATCTCTTAAGTAAGCCATAAGGTAGCTAGGTGGCCATAGACTATATAAAGATTGTGTTTGTTTCATTTTAAAAGAGAGAAATGTCTTAATACCAGGGTGGGTTGGGAATTCTACTCTGGAAGACAAAATCCACCCCCATGGACTCCAGGAGAAAAGTCAGTGATGTCAACCAATGCAGAGCAGACCCCCCTTTCCCCTGCTGCCCAGCCCCTGAAGCCCCTTCCAGTCCTAACCTACTGCCTTGGCAATGGCCTGAGGCTCTGTCCCCACAGACCACAGGGAATTATGCCAGCAATGCAAAGCAAGGCCCACCCTCTCTGACTCCCTCCCCCACACCTTTCCACCTGTCATCAGGGAGCCCAGAGGAGAGAAGCAAGGGCAGACAGGGAATTCCAAAACAGCACCTACTCAGAAGCCATGAACAACGCCTGAAGAATGCTGTTGACATAGCACGTGTTGCCCAGGTTGATGAGACCAATCTTGCCTGTGTCTGACTTGGCCATGAGCCGGGGGTAGAAACCTGCCAGCTCACTCTTCTGTGAGGTCCAGGCGTCCTGCCCCAGCAGCTGTTTGATGCGGTCTTCATTGGGAACATGGAGGTCCTGAGGGGGGAATAAGCAGGCAGGCAGGATGGTGGGCACCAAGGTCATCTCAAAAAAAAGTCACCTTTTTAGGCCAGGCACAGGGGCTCATGCCTGTAATCCCAGCACTTTGGGAGGCCAAGGCAGGTGGATCAAAGGAAGTCAGGAGTTTGAGATCAGCCTGGCCAACATGGCGAAACCCTGTCTCAACTAAAAACACAAAATAAGCCAGGCATGGTGGCACATGTCTGCAATCCCAGCTACCCGAGAGGCTGAGGCAAGAGAATTGCTCAAACCGAAAGGTGGAGGTTGCAGTGAGCTGAAATTACACCACTGTACTCCAGCCTGGGCAACAGAGTGAGACTCCTTCTCAAAAAAAACAAACAAACAAACAAACAAACAAACAAAAAAAAACACCTCTTCCAGGAGGCCTTCTCAGATACACCCAACCCCAGAGCTTCCCAGGCATACCACCCCACAGATCTTCTGGGGTATTTGTGAACAATCCCTTGCTTCCAAACCCCTTCAGTTAACATATGAGCTGTCTCCATGGTCTTTCAGGTCACGAGTGCTTTAAGGTGGTATAATTCCCATTTTATAGATGAAAAACATGAAGATTCAGAGAAAATAATTGTCCAGGGTCATTGTCAGTAAGTAAAGAATATGCATGTTCTTAGAAAAGCTCAGGCTCTCTGACTCAGTTTCCTCATCTGTCAAGTGAGGACACGCCTACCTTGTGTCAGTCTGGCATCCTACATTTTCATGGTGCAGGCACACAATGATGTGCCCATTTCCACTAATCACCTATTTAGATTTGCAGAATCAGCTTTCAAGAGAAGAGAGTCACCTCCCTAAAACTTGACCCTACAGTCAGGACAGTGGGCAAATCCCTGCGGTCTGAGGTATTGGTCTTGGTCCTTACCATGCTTCCCACTCGCATTACCTTTGTCACATCAAACAGCTGTATCCAAGAATACCACTGAGCACTAGTTCTTGTTTCTTTACTAAAAGCAGAATGAAGTGAGAACAAACTGAGCACTAGTTCTAATGATGCTATCTTTCCAAGAAAAACATCTAAGCCCCAATTCCTGTTCCTTAGCAGATTTTAGCAACATTCATAACAGTTCCTCTAGCCCTGTTATTTCCAGGTCGTGGGCACAATGCCTTAGATTTGTCCAAAGCTCCACAGAGCTTTAACAGCTCAGCATCCAAAGCCCTCTTCTCCCCAGTGCATATCCTGTGGCTCCCACAGAGGGTCTTGCTCATCCAGGGGGGGTTAACACTTTTGCTCATTCACCTCCCAGGATCATTTATCCAATAATTTATCAGAGCAGTCAGTCACTTCTCACAGATAATTTAAAAAGAAGGCCGGGTGCAGTGGCTCATGCCTGTAATCCCAGCACTTTGGGAGGCCAAGGAGGGTGGATCATGAGGTCAGGAGATCAAGACCATCCCAGCCAACATGGTCAAACCCTGTCTCTACTAAAAATACAAAAAACTAGCCGGGCGTGGTAGTGCACACCTATAGTACCAACTATTCAGGAAGTTGAGGCAGGGGAATCGTTTAAACCTGGGAGGCGGAAGTTGCAGTGAGCCGAGATGGTGTCACTGTACTCCAGCCTGGCAACAGAGCAAGACTCCATCTAAAAAAAAAAAAAAAAAAAGCACATACATACCAAGGAGATGCCAGAGGGGAGACAGATAAGATACAGGCTCACTATCTTCTTCATCCCTTCTTTTTTCTTCCCATTATGCCCTATCTAATGTCCTCCTTGCCTGCCCCCCACACACAACATGAACAGAGACAAAAAGGCAGAAAGAACCGCACACATCCATGCACACAGAGAAGACGTAAAAAAATATCCATACCAGGAACAAAATCAAATGCCATTTTTCCCAAAGAAGGTAACTTTGTACTCAGGAAAATAAAGCCTTACAAATAACTTAAGTACCCAATAATGTTACTAGAAATTGACATGTAATAGCTCCCTTGGCAAGTACCACAGCTCCCAGAGAAACCGCCACAACCTGATACATCTAAGTCAGAGAATTTTCCAGAACTTACAAAGGCATAGGTACAAAGGCATAGGTACAAAGGGATGTACTCATAGAACCCATGTGAAACAAAGTTACACAAAATAAAATCCTTTAGTTTGCTGCCTTGCCTCTCAAACTGGCTTGTACCAGAGTGTTCAAAGCCACAGAACAAATGTGGAGCCATGTTTTCTATCATTCAAAGAAACAGATCACCTAGTAAAGATGGCCGACTAGGAACAGCTCAGGATTGCAGCTCCCAGTGAAACCACAGAAGGTAAGTGGATGCCACATTTCCAGATGGATTTTTACTGCCCACAGACCAGGAGATTCCCAGGCAGAGGAGCCCCACGGGTCGCCAGCCTGGCTGTTTTGGCCAGTGTGGCCGGCGCCGCTACTTTGCCGGCGCCCTGGAGCAGCGTTCTCTGTACAAAATACACTGGTCCGGGTGCCCTGTTAGCTGGCAATTGGAGACCCGGGAAGGCAGATCGCCCATTCATCTGATTTAAAAGGAACTGAAACAGGGAGCCAGGCCAGGAGATTCCTGGACAAAAAAACCGCCACGAATCTCAGCGCCGCTGTTTCAGCCAGCGCAGTGAGTCACTGCACGGGAAATCACCCAGATCCCGGTGCCTTTTCAACAGGCGACTGGAACACCTGGGAGAGAGTCGACCATTCAACTTAAAAAAAAAAAAAAAAAAAACAGACTCTGAATCAGGGAGTCAGGTGATCGGGCTCAGCTGGACCCACCCCCCCAACACACACACAAAAAAACAGCAACTGAAAATGCTCTGGGTTGAGAGTTTCACAGCAAGCACAGCTCTGTGGGGGAGCGGCGTCCACCATTACCGAGACACTCCACCACTATGGAGGTAGTCCACCATCGCTGAGGCAGCCCGCCGTTGCCGAGGCAACCTGATATTACAGAGAGAGTCCGCCATTACAGAGGGAGGCCACCATTGCTAAGGCAGTTCTAACTACACCCATACAAACAGGACTGCAGGGAAGATCACACAGCAGCTGGGCAGAGCTCACAGCAGCTCAGCAAAGCATCTGCAGGCAGACAGTGACTAGGCTGCTTCCTCGCTGGGCATGGCAGCCCTGAAAAAAAAAAAAGGCAGCAGCACAACGGAAACTCATAAATAAAGCCCTAACTCCCTGGGACAGAGCACTTGGGAAAAAAAAAAAAAAAAAGTGTTTATGACTTCTGCTGCAGCAGAGCTAAATGTGCCTGCCCAGCAGCTCTGAATGAACGGAGCTCACAGCTCAGCACCTGAGCTCCAATAAAGGACAGACTGTCTCCTCAAGCAGCTCCCTGACCCCCGTATGTCCAAAGAGTCACTTCATAAAGGAGAGAACACACTCACATTTGGTGGGTATCCTTCTGGGACAAAGATAGCCGAAGAAGAAACTGGTAGCAACCCTTACTGTTCTACAACTGCTGCAGGTGATCCCCAGGCAAGCAGGGCCTGGAGTGGACCTCAGCAGTCCTACAGCAGAGGGGCCAGACTGATAGAAGGAAAACTAAGAAACAGAAATAACTTCATCATCCACAAACTGGAAGTTCACCCAGAGACTCAATCTGAAAGTCAGCAACTACAAAGACAACAGGTGGATAAATCCCCAAAGATGGGAAGAAACCAGTGCAAAAAGAATGAAAACACCCAAAACCAGAACATCTCTCCTCCTACAAGGTATCACAACGCCTCACCAGCAAAGGAACAAGGCTGGATGGAGAATGAGTGTGATGAAATGACAGAATCAGACTTCAGAAGGTGGGTAATGATAAACATCTCTGAGCTAAAAGAACATCTTCTAACCCAATGCAAAGAAACTAAGAACCTTGAAAAAAGATTTGATGAAATGCTAACAAGAATGGACAACATAGAGAGGAATGTAAGTGAATTGATGAAGCTGAAAAACACAACACGAGAACTTTGTGGAGCATGCACAAGTTTCAAGAGCCGAATTGACCAAGCAGAAGAATGGATATCAGAGGTCCACGAAATGTGGGACTATGTGAAAAGACCTAATCTATGTTTGATAGGTGTACCTGAATGTGACAAAGAGAATGAATCCAAGCTGGAAAATACTCTTCAGGATATTACTTAGGAAAACTTCCCCAACCTAGCAAGGCAGACCAATATTCAAGTCCAGGAAATACAGAGAACACCACAAAGATATTCCTGAATGAGAGCAACCCCAAGGCACATAATCGTCAGATTCACCAGGTTGAAATGAAGGAGAAAATGCTAAAGGCAGTCAGAGAGAAAGGTCAGGTTCCCCACAGAGGGAAGCCCATCAGACTCACAGCAGATCTCTCAGCAAAAACACTACAAGCCAGAGGAGAGTGGGAGCCAATATTCAACATCCTTAAAGAAAAGAACTTTCAACCCAGAATCATATATCCAGCCAAACTGAACTTCATAAGTGAAGGAAAAATAAAATCCTTTGTAAACAAGCAAGTACTCAGGTTTCATCACCACCAGGCCTACTTTACAAGAGCTCCTGAAAGAGGCTCTACACATGTAAAGGAACAACCAGTACCAGCCACTCCAAAAACATACCAAATGGTAAAGAGCATGAACACAATCAAGAATCTGCATCAACTAATGGGCAAAACAGCCAGCTACCATCAAAATGGCAGTATCAAATTCACACATAACAATATTAACTCTAAATGTAAATGGACTAAATGCCCCAATCAAAAGACACAGACTGGCAAATTGGATAAAAGCCAAAACCCATCGGTGTGCTGTATCCAGGAAACCCATCTCACATGCAAGGATACACAAAGGCTCAAAATAAAGAGATGGAGGAAGATTTACCAAGCAAATGGAGAGCAAAAAAAAAAGGAGGAGTTGCAATTCTCATCTCTGATAAAATAGACTTTAAAGGAACAAAGATCAAAAGAGACAAAGAAGGACATTACATAATGGTAAAAGGATCAACGCAACAAGAAGAGCTAACGACTCTAAATATATACGCACCCAATACAGGAGCACCCAGATACATAAGGCAAGTTCTTAATGACTTACAAAGAGACTTAGACTGCCACACAATAAT